TTTTAAAAAATAAATATCTAAATACTAAAATAACTTTCAGCCACAGCTATAGTTACAGTATAATATATTTCAGCATAATGACAATTACAATTATAATCATAACACTTCATAATAATTTCAAACGGCATCTTATATTATAATGATAGGATGAAAAAAATTGAAATATCTAAAACTAAAGGATAATGGTAAATAGTACCCAAATTTATAATCAATAATAATGCATGTCATATTATTAATTATTTAAAATATTAAAAAAAATTATATTATTTAATAATTAATTTTTTATATTTTTTTAAAATTTATAATATTATGTATATTAATTTATTTAATAATATAATTTATATTACATGATTTATTTCAAATTTTAATTCTCAGTACTCTTTTTCAAAAACCTATAGCCCAAAAGAAAACAGGCTTTTGATTTGATAGACAAACCTTGGTAAAAATATTTAGCCCAACCCAATCCAGTAGAACCCGCCGTTGGGAAAATGAGGGTGATTTGGTTTTCCCGCTAAAATGGAAATCAAAAACTTTCCTAAAAATAAAAATCCAGCGGGAAAATGAATTGAACTCCAAAATTACCCTCCAAAATCCTTCAATACAAGGCCGAAGGCCCCTTCCACTCCGTCTCTCCATTCCTCCATTCTTCTTCATCTCCGACGTTACGCCCCCATTGCAGCATACACTTCCTAAGAGAGAGAGATGGAAAAATCTCCGACCCCAGATGCTGTATCTTTGATCCTAGCTAACCCATCTCCGGATTCTTCCTCAGATATCCCGGAGATCATCGTGCAGGTTCTGGATCTCAAGCTTATGGGCAATCGCTACACGTAAGATTAATGCTGTACCCATTTTTGATGTTCGAATGTTTTTCTAGTTCTTTCCAAGTGGTCAACGATTGGTTCAACTGTATTGATGTTTGTTATTTTGCGATTCCGTTTCTTCATTTTGTTTAAATTGTTATTGATGAAAATTTTTCTAAGATCTGAACAGAATATAAGATGTCCTCTGGATTTCAAGCACAGTAATCCATTTTTGTAAAAAAAAAAATAATCTTTATTAGTCATAATCTGTTTGGCAGCTAAGAAAATTGTGGGGAAAGGAGAGGAAATGATTTTTGATTTTGACGGGACATTGCTTTCTCAACCTTTTATTTAATACTTATGGGTCAAATTTCATTGATGATAAGTTTCTTCTGTATTGTTTGAACAAGGATCTGTATCTTGTGTTGGTCTTCAATTTCATAATAAGCATTGAAGGTTAAGGTTTGCTTTACTTGCAGATTTAGTGCCAGTGATGGGAAGCTGAAGCTAAGGGCGATTTTCCCATCAAATATTTCTTCTGAAGTCATTTCAGGAAGCATCCAAAACAAGGCTCTTGTTCGTATTCTTGACTACACTCTCAATGACATTCCAAATAAATCAGAAAAGTAAGGGTTGCATTACTTTTGTTAAGAATTTTATGGGTTTTGCGGGAATTTGGTTCATAACATGACATGGTGTGATATTTGACTGGTTTCAGATACTTAATTGTTACAAAGTGTGAGGTGGTGTCTCCTGCACTTGAGATGGAATTCAAGGCTGAAGAGAGCAATGAGGAATCCGGGGTTATAAAGATGATAAAGCAGGAAACTTTTGTTGAGAAGGTCAAAGCAGGAACTGGCATCATCTTGAAGCCGAAGCAGGAAATGGTTGCCAAATCTGCTGCTCAAATAGTATACGAGCAGCGTGAAAAGTAAGTATCCTAAGTTCGAGATTAGCCTACTTTGATGATGATTTTTGGGATATGAAAATACGCTATGTAGAGGGCTTGATGGCCGTCTAACAATGGTTCACGCTTTGTTTTACAGTATGGCACCTACTGCCCGAATGTCACTGACAAGAAGAGTGCATCCTCTTGTTTCCTTGAACCCTTACCAAGGAAATTGGACCATAAAAGTTCGGGTCACAAGCAAGGGGAACATGCGGACCTACAGAAACGCTAGAGGAGAAGGTTGTGTCTTCAATGTGGAACTAACAGATGAAGATGTAAGCAGCATAGTTTTCCGTTCTTTAAATTTACATTTAACAAATTCAAATGAATATATATTGATTGACACTTGATCTGTCTAGGGGACACAAATACAAGCCACCATGTTCAATGAAGCTGCTAGGAAATTCTATGACAAATTCCAGTTGGGGAAGGTCTATTACATTTCCAAGGGAACTTTAAAAGTAGCTAACAAGCAGTTTAAGACCGTGAAAAATGATTACGAAATGACATTAAATGAGAACTCTGAGGTAGAAGAGGCTGCTAATGAAGAAACTTTTATTCCTGAAACAAAGTTCAACTTTGTACCCATCGATCAGTTGGGACCCTATGTCAATGGGAGGGAACTTGTTGGTAATAATTCTCTTCCATCCTTCTGTATGTTCATATCTAAGTTAATCTTATTTTATCCCCTGATTGTCACTATTTTTATTATGATATTGTTTGCATTTTGCTTCAGATATAATTGGAGTTGTTCAAAATGTTTCTGATAAAGTGCTCCTTAGAAGGAAGATTGACAATGAGACCGTTCCAAAGCGTGATATGACTATAGCAGATGAGACGTGAGTGCACGTTTGTTGAATGCTTTTTCCATTTATTGTTGTTGTGTATTAAAGTTTTGAATTTTTATAATGCAGTAAGAGGACTGTTGTGGTTTCTTTGTGGAATGATCTCGCAACTGGTTTAGGCCAGGAACTGCTTGAGGTCGCTGATAAATCTCCTGTAGTTGCCATCAAATCCCTGAAAGTTGGTGATTTCCAAGGTAGTTCAAATTTGGAACATAATCTGGCTATGGAAATTGAGATTGTTTACCAAGCTAAAGTGAATGTGAAATTTGTAATCTGATTCTGGATGTTTCTTGTGCAGGTGTATCTCTGTCAACAATAGGCCGAAGTACCATGCAGGTTAATCCAGATATTCCTGAAGCAAAGAGACTGAGAACTTGGTATGCAATGATCAAAAATCAAGCAATTACTGTGAGCTTTTCTTTTACAAGTACTGGTTTCAGAATCATGATACAAACAAATTTATGTGCAGGTATGAATCTGAAGGGAAAGGGACCACCATGGCTTCAATTAGCTCTGGTTTGAGCCCTTCATCCAAGACTGGTGCAAGGTCAATGTACTCTGATCGAGTTGCCCTTTCTCATATAACTGCTAACCCATCTTTGGGTGAGGATAAGGTACTGCAATTTCCATCCTTAATTGAAGAAATTGCCTTGAGTCTATTTTTTGTGTGAATATTTTTTGGTAATGTTCGACATTTTAATATTTGATACAATGGCTTTTCTTCATCTGCAGCCTTCTTTTTTCAGCATCAGAGCTTATGTTAGCTTAATCAGGAATGATCAGGCAATGTGGTACCGGGCTTGCAAAACTTGCAACAAGAAGGTGACCGAAGCTGTTGGGTCTGGATATTGGTGCGAGGGGTGCCAGAAGAATGACGATGAGTGCAACCTAAGGTGACAGGCGTTTCAAGTAGCTAAAACCATTTTGTTAAATTTGTTTGCTCACATTTTTCCTAATTATTTCCCCTTAAAATTGTCAGATACATAATGATGTTGAAAGTGTCTGACTCAAGTGGTGATGCTTGGGTTTCTGCCTTCAATGAGGAAGCAGAGAAGATTGTTGGGTGCCCTGCTGATGAGCTTGATAAACTGAAATCAGAGGTAATTTATCAACAAAGTCAGTTGATTTACATGAATGTGTAGAAAAGACATAGAAACTAGTCTTAATTACATTAATGATGCTGGAATTTCAGGAAGGAACGATGAATTATCAAGAAAAGTTAAAGGAAGCAACTTGGATTCCTCATCTCTTCCGGGTTAGTGTTACTCAGAATGAATACAACAACGAGAAAAGGCAAAGGATAACAGTCAGAGCTGTTGCTCCAATTGATTTTGCTGCTGAATCTAAAATTATGCTTGCAGAGATTACGAAGTTGACTGATTCAAAGTGAAATGTTCTTGTACTTAGTGATGTTTAGGTTAAGGTTTCAGTTTCTTGTTTATAAAATGCCAAATGGAGGAGCTCCAGCAATATCGATTTTGGATTCTGACAGTATGCTTGCAAAATCGTGAATGTTTTCTCGGAGGCATTAATGAAATATAGCTGTTTCTATTGGACAAAGTCTTTTTGCTGTAGTTGTGACTTCTAATGCAAATCTCCGTTGGCAACTAGGAATGCAGGGAAGCTAGAGTAGCAAAGAGGCAATCTTAATTCTGGCATTATGCTTGCAATATATGTTTCCTGGGATGCATCGATTGAATATGGCTGTTTTTATCGCACCAAGTTTTTAACCATGGACCCGTGGTTGTAACTTGTAATGCAAATCTCTGTTCCTAGACATTCAAACAAGTGTTCTTCTAAGGTAGGCGCGGGAAATACAAGATATTGACTTCAATGACCACAACATCGGGCTACAGTATTCACAGCAGGGTTTGAAGATTCGAAAAACACTACATCATATCATATGATTATGAACAAATTTCACTAACATTATTGTGCAACGAAACTGGGATTGACACACTATTTAGAGATCGAATGCATATAATTGATTATTTTATCAGCCTTTATATGAAGCGATCAGTGATGCAATTTTATGCAATAATTTCGATGCAGTCTCGTTGTCTTTAGCACCAGTAGGAGAGGTCCACTGCTGGAAATCATGCAGGCTGCCTGTGAAGTCGGTAAAGAGGCCATCAACTCCTATATAGTTTAGCCAGTACTCGTATTCCTGATACGGGTCTTGATGGAAGTTGAAGTGTAAAAATAGATTCTCATTCCGATAAGTGTATGGGTGCACCTGCATTGAAACCACCAGGCTGTAATAGAGGTTTAAAGAAAAGGGTGAAAAGGAAAATGGCAAAACATTCCATAACCAACAACTGTTTTAAAAGGATAAGAAAGAACAAGTCAGCAACCCAATCACAAAATTTTTTGAACAAAAATCATGGAATAAAAATCAACAAACTAGCCCAGAAAATTGTTAAAGAGAAACACCAAGAGTGGAGAATGATTAACAAGTGAAAAAAAGGCTTGTTCTTTTAAGTCCCTTCAAACGTTCTTCCAGTAGAAGGTTACAAAAAAGTCAAGTTGCTCCAGTGCTCCAAAAAGCGGTTTTTCATTTTAGCAAAGAAAGCCTCAGAAAGATGAAGATTGGACATGAAAAAGAAAAGAAAAGAAAAAATTACAATAATTATCTTTGATAACATTATGGCCATTTATCAATATCAAAGCTGTCAATCAGAAACCTTAAGATAAAAAATGAAATTACCTGTAAATTATGAGCATGTGCTTTGGCAACAAGATCGGTAGGTGTTTGTAAATAATTGTTTTTTACAGGGACCACAGTATCCTTCCACGGTCCTATGCCCACAACATAATCCTTAATGTAGGCAAGATACGCATCAGAAGTGATTTCCCAGTATGACTGCACATTACAAATGCCATTTTCTTCAATTAGAAATCCAAACCTAGAGACAGTGTTGCCAAAAAAAAAAAAAATGACACATAGTTCATGTTTGAATCTAGAATGACACAACAAATGACTACTTAAAGGGGCTGAACCAATACATTTACCACAAAATAACCCTTTGTTAAGAACATTTAAACCATATCTGCAACTCAAACTCTTCTTCAGCAAACAAATTGCAAGCAAACTTAAAATGAAAAAAGGAGGATGCATTTCAAACAGACCTGATTAGTATCCTGAGTTGGAATGGTAACATCATCAATCAAGAAGATTTTGGGCAAGTCTGTTTGATTTGATATATAAACAAGTGAAGTTGGAGCAAAGGACTGGATAAATGCAGGTTGTTTCAGCCAATCTTCTGACATGTATGAACCTTTATATCCATACTTCTGGAGCATCTCCACAAACTTGTCCTCAAATCTTTTCCCATGAGGCCATTTCACCTGTTAACAAGCATCAGATTAATGTGAAGGTATCTGTTGACCATAAAACTGAAAGTATTCAATGGTGATGTTAATACAAATGGACTGACGGATAACTCTCTGAATCATAGCCACAACTCCACGTTTCTTTGAATCTGCTCAGTATTTTATGTGACATTAATGGAAAATAAGAGAATAACATATGAATATCACTCACTCTCACTCTCTCTCTCTCTCTCTCTCTCTCTTTGGCAGTGTTGAAGTTCTAACCACATCACACTTAATTTCTTCAAAAACCGAAGTTACCAGCCCTAAAATCAGATAAAACAGGTTCTCTAGTTTTTTTGGGGATATTACTTTAAAAATTACAATAGAAGTGATTTCATCTCAGCAAAACAAACTTTAATTTTTAAATGAGGGATAGCATAGTCATTCTTCTTAATTCATTCTCTTCTGAGGCAATCATTTTTTTCTGTATGGCCTTTCTTAATGGCAGCTTAAATGAAAACTACTTACTTGCTGGTTGATGAACACTGGATTTTTAATCTCTGGATATATACCAACAACTCTTGGTGCATCCAATGCAATTGCAATATACTCTTCGAAAGTAATAATAGGAAATTTTCCTGAGGATTACACCACAAATATAATTATTTGATTCTCGTTATATATTTCCTGAAAGGACATGCTGTTTCATGCTGAATAGGTGGAAGATAAATTTTAGCTTTGAGAAGCAAAATACAACATAATTCTACAAGACAGAGACTGACCATTATATTGCTGATCTCGGAAGCTATACCTCTGCTTCACCCGTAATGTCTTTAGTTCTTTTAGAGTGAAGTCAACTGCACAGAAATTAGAATCATTTTTAATGTTCTTAGTTAAGTCTTGTAGACAGTTTCTTGATTTTTGAATTTTTAGTTAAGGCATATAAATGATACTTGCATAGACAAGAATACAGTTTGCAAGTTTGAAATGTTCAAGGTGCTCATACTGTACAAGAGATTAAGATGCACGGTAACATGATATGTTGATAACTTTAGCAGCACTTCATAAGAAGTAAACAAAGTTGCAAGTCACATAGCTTCATACCAGAGAAAAAGCCGGTGACATTTTCCCCTTGGACCTCATAGGTCCTTTTACGATTTGCAAACTCTTTATGTTCAGCAACATCTGTTGTATCATCAAGGGTAACATCATGAAAACAAATAAGAACCCCATCCTTTGATGACAGGATATCTGTTTCTATGAAGTCCGCACCCTCTTCAATAGCTCTCTACAAGGAGTCAAGTTTATGATGCATGAGGTGTTTTTTGACTCATCAATTTCAATGAACAGATCTCACAACAAGACTAGAAAATAGACATGTCACAAACAGGAGGAAAACATATCAATTTTTCTCCAAGCAATTTTCCATATCAAACACATATATGGAAAGCAGAAAATTTTGGCGAAATTGCATTGCCACACATACCAAGTACGCAGCAGAAGTTTCTTCCGGCAACTCTCCATTTGATCCTCGATGTGCAATATTATATGGACGAAAAGTTTGTAGGGGCAATCTATTCTTCTCATTTAGTTTGCTAGGAAGTGGATACAAAGGCCTTGCAGCACAGCCAGTAATGAGAATTAGAACCAAAAGAGGGACATAGCCTGCAGAGTGTTATTGTGAAAGAATATCAGATGAATTATTAATTTGTATTTCCAAGTGTAAAGCATAATTCTTACAAATAATTACAAAATAGACACCATGAAGAGAAATTCACAAGCATGAAGAGAAATCCACAAGCAAGTAGATAAATGCACCATATGGGGTAGAAAACTTGATATGATTGTTTTCTCTATAAGAAAGAATAACATTACTCAAGAAGACCAAATAAACTTTGCATGATCCCTCCACTTACAATAGTAAACGTTTGGGAAAAATTTTAATCTGTGGATCCTTTAATTGAATTCTGTAAAATTCAGTGCCACTAATAAATTCTCTCTAGGGCCAATTAGGAAACCTTTGAGCGTTACAGTTATGACATAATGTGTATCCCACTTCCTATCTTAGCGCTTCTAGCAACAAAAAGGAATTGATCATCGTTAAAAGGGAAAACCTCCTCGTTATATACATGTTTTAATATCAAAACCTCTAGAAATGTCACAATCTAAAACATAAAAATGGGAAAAAATAGCTTCCTTCCAAAAATTTGCTTCCAAGTAAAGATTGAATTTTTAGTTCGATATGAAAAATCATTAGCATTCAAGTCAATGCATACAAACTTCAACTAATAGAACAAACCAAAAAGGGGTGGGGGAAAGCACTGATATCAGGATCGCACACTGAAATCATATAAAAATGAGACTGAAAAACCCAAAAATCAGTCATGATAAAAAATGGTCAGAAATAACTTAAATGAAAAACCGTTAGCATTCAAGTCAATCATATCAAGATTTGATTTTTAGTTTGATATAAAAAACCATTAGCATTCAAGTCAATGCATACAAACTTCAACCAAAAAGAGGTAGGGTAAAGCACTGATATCAGGATCGCATCCTAAAATCATATCAAAATGGGACTGAAAAACCCAAAAAGCAGTCATCATGAAAAATGGCCAGAAAGAAATGGAATGAAACATCAAACAAAACCCAGAAACCATAAATGCCCATCAACCAAAAGAACAAACAAATTCAAAATATTCATTGTAAAGATAGAAGAAGCGCGTTGTTTACCAGTCAAAGCCATTGCCTTTGCCCTTGCTTTTCCCTTCTTCTCTTCCTCTTTGCCGAAGCTATCTGCTTCCCCGCAGAAGCGTATACATATATAACTGTGCCCTTTTTTCCGGTTTTCACACGGGTCGTTTACTTTCTCTTCACGCTGGAGATAAGACTGTTAGATGGAACTATTTAGCCGCGGATTGACTCCGCTCTCTATCGAGGAGCACCATGCCGTGAATCCCGAACGTTAAGAATATTCTTGAGGGATAATTCTTTTTTATTTGATGGATCCTGAGGTATTCTAAAGAAGGATGTTTATGTTTCAAGAAAATAATCTGTTTATTTGGACAAATAAAGAAAACAACTGATTTATGATAAAAATAATAATAATACCTAATTGGCTGTGGCAAAAAGAAAAAAATAATAATAATTAGTAAAAACGAAATTAAAATACCTTAAATTGAGTCCTTAAGCTTTCAGAATTTTTTTACCAATTTAATCCTTAACTGCCAAAAATTCTAGGTGGTTTCTAAACTGAATTTTCTGTCACCATTTTGGTGTTATATAAGTTAACGTTAAGTGCTTAAGCGATCCACTTTTTCCTCAAATGGTTTTGTTTCTGCCTGGACGACCTTAATGAAATGGAGTTGTTTCATTGTAATGAAGTTATAATGGGTATTTTACTTTTTCTAATAGTAGATCCTTTTAATCCTTTTCTTTTCGCATGTAATTGCACGAATTAACTTTATGTCGACTTCAGCTGTCTTGATGACTTTGACGCTCTAATCAGTTCATCTTGGTAAGAGGTTAGTATTTCAACTCATCCTAAGAAGACCGGAGCTCTTCAGCTCATCGTAGGAAGAGCTGGGCACTTCAACACTTTAACTTATCCAACATGTCTAGCAAAATAGACTTAAGGTTTGACTCTGAGTAGACACTTGGATATTTAACTTAATAATAGTCTACTATTAATACAAAGTAAATCAATGCAATGCCCAATATTAAAACTAAGGACCCTTAAGAAGTATTTATAAGTTTATGATAGTATCCACTGATTTTTCTGAAGTAATAATCAAAATATGATGTGACAAATGAAGCGGTGTTCTCAAATATACATATCAACTCTTCAGTTGAGAACTCTTAACTGTGAACTTCTTCACTTTAGCCTAATCAACATTAATATGACAATTCAATTCAAGTATTCCTTCACACCAATTGACGCTTATACTTCTTGAAATCATTTCCTTCCTCTCTCAATCGATAACCTAGGCCTTAGTCTAAATCAAATAATCCTAGGTTAAAATCAAATAAATAGTGAATAGTTCTCAAGAATCATACAACTCTTCATCCAGAAATAAACGTTCCATCTGTTTTCTTTACCTACAGCTAAGGAAAGAAAAGTCATTGAAATAGGAGAATGGATGGACGGTGTCTAGACATGATAATTGGCATAGAGACAACGACTTCATAATTGAGAAGAAGAGTTGGCGACCTGAATCAACCCAAAAATTGCAGAGCAGAGGATCATTATACAACTAAGGGTTTATTTGGATTGGCTACTTAATTACAATTAATAGTTGATAATTGATAATTGATAATCAATAATTAGTGTTGTTTGAAAGTAGTGTTTGGTTTTATAATTATTGTTTATTGCTAATGAAGTGTGAACTTACCATTAAAGACACATTTCATATATTAGTCAAATTCGTTAGTTTTATTAGGACCTGTTTAATAACACTTTCTTCCTATTTTTAATTTGCGTTACCAAAAATTTAGCAACCATGAGAACAAAAATTGAAAACCAACAACCAAAACTAAAATGAAAAATGGACAACTTATTTAATATGTGTTCAGGGGTGTGCTGGTGATATAGATTGATGAGTCAGCAATGGTGATGATATGAAGGCTGACTAGGATGCCACTCGTGAATGATGAGGAGGATCCTTTTGGCGGCACCCATTTCATGTGCAAGAGGCTACGTGCCATGGGTCGTCTCATTCTGCCCAACGATGTTGGTTAGCAACAAATTCCGCAACAAAGTTTGAAGGTGTAAGTTTTCTAGCCAAGCCAAGAAGGAGAGCTGGCAATAACGATAGAGTTTCAAGATGTCCAGCAATGTTGGTCAGCAAACAAAGTCTGGAGACGACGTTTTTCCAACAAAGTCCAGAAATAGAGTCTCTCCAATGAAGTCTGAAAATAAAGTTTCTCCAGTAAAGTTCGAAAATAGAATGTCCCCAGCCAAGCCAGAAAGAGTGGAGTGATGATGGTGGTCCTAGGATAACAAGAATGATTACACAACTACCAAAAATAATGACAATAAAATGTGCAATGCTGTAGGAGCAGCAAGGATAGAAAATATGTAAGGGTTAAAAATAACAGCTTGAGAAACACATTTTTACATAATATATTGTAGCACAATAGCAAAGACAATGAATGTGCCCTCTATTATCCTTAACAAATACTTCTACTCTATAATAAGCAACCCTCACATTGTAGATAAAAGGCACAATGGTCTCCCTCAAGCTTTAAGAAGACAAAAAGGAATAAACTTGAAAGTAGTGATGGGAGAAAGAAGGATGACCATTGTGGGGGCTTGTGAATGAAGGGCTTGATCCCCTTTTTTATGCTAACTTTTCAGCTTGAACCTTTGGTGCTCATGAAATTGACCCAGAAAATGAATCTGCAATATGTTGTATGCCAGCCATGATGTTTTGCAAGTTTGGAAATTGTTCAACAGTGTTGGAAGTGCAGAAAATATGAAGAAAATGGTGATTACTGGGTAATTTCAATATGTAGAGTGAGTGGGTGAGGATGAAGTATTTTTCAGAGGAAGAAGGTAGGTTTGATACGTGAGGGGGAAGCTGGGGTTGTGAAAAATCTGGTCTCTTCTTGTACATCTCCTTGCTAAAAAATGAAGGAAAGATAATATATATATATGGCTAGTGGCATTTTTGTAATTTCTGGGTTGATGGGTCAAAGGTGCACAGTGGCTTAATGGGTAGATTTGGGCGAACTGTCGAGTTTTGAGTGGTTTTGGGCATGGTTGATAGCTTTTTGGTAGTGATATTATGAATTGCCTAGTGGTTTGGTGAAGCACCACCAGTTCCAATGAAACACCATTGGGTCCAACGAAACACTGTTGGGTCCAATGAAGTACTGCTAATTTGCTGAAGGCTATCCATTTTTGGTAACTCTCTAGCCATACAAAATTCCATTTTGGGGGATAATTGAGTGCAGCTAGCAAAATCAAATCTGGCCAAGATTTTGGTATATTTCCAAGTGCTGCCCAGGATTTTGGAAGATTCCCAAGGTCTGTCCAAGATTTTGATAGATTTTTCGAGCAAAATCAGATCTTTTTCAATAGTTCCCAAGGGCAAGAAACTTGTGCAGCCACCCTTTTTAGCATTTTTCAACACTGTGCAGCCACATTTGCATTGAATATGGCTGCAAATTGTTGATGGTGACCAAAGCATCATCTTTGGTTGGTTTTGAACGAGATTCCAAACTTCTAGTTAGCATCAAACAGTATAGTTTTGGGGATCAAGTCTACCTCCATGTCTTCGCCACCTAGCCCTTTCTGGCGAAGTCGGGCAACATCGCCAGTGCCAAGCTTCACTAGTGCGAATACCTTGCTTCGCCAAATAGGCAACGCACACTCATCTATGCGTGCCAAGCCACTACTCCCATAGTTATCCTGAATAATTCCCATGAGTTTGGATTCATGGGTTTATTGATGACCTGCATGTAGAAGCAGTAATTAGTTGATGAAGATGATAAGATTTAATAAATAAGGAAATAATAAAGGAAAGAGACTTCCTTATGTAGTTCTGGATATTGCTAGGGCTTCCTTTGCATTTCTAGCAATGTAGTTATGTATTGCAGCATTAGATACCGTTGGGACTTCTTTTATATTTCTGGCGAGGCAACCATATATTGTAGCATCAGATATTGCTGGGCCTAGCCATCTGCTGTGGCATCAGATATCATTGGGTTTTTTTGATAAATGCATGTTGAAGGCATTAATATGCGCTTAGTTTAAGGCGGGTCTTGGTGACGTAGGAACTACCCGAGTCCAAGTTTGACCTTTTACAAAAACATCCATCAACAATATGTTTCTAAAACGAACAACCAAAATTATAAATATGTTTGGTACAAAAACAATTTTTGTTTATTGACACCCATATTTGGCACTAACTTGAACAAAAATCAAGAATTTTTTTTAAGAATGCGTTCTTTGTGATGTCAATCTCATATTCATACATTACTCCATAAATATAGTCAAGGTTAGAAAATGGACTAATAATTTTGAAAAGGGAAATAATTTTGGGATAATCTTTTTATATTATTTTTTTTTTATAACTTGACGTGTCATTTAAATGATTGATTTTGTTATTTATATGAGACTCGTGATATTAAATGCATCCATTCATTTAATGACATGTGAAAGTTATATTAAAAAGTGATTTAAAAAATTTGTTCCTATAGCACCACCTTTCAGAAATTGCATTATTATTATTTTGTTTTTTTGAACAAGGAGAAATTGGGGGGAAAGGGGGATAGAGGCTGTTATTGCAACTTGAACTCTAACTGAAACTAGAAGTTA